ATGTAGAACAGGACAATAATAAACTATGCAAGATTGCAGTAACTAGTGACATGGTCCTCAGACAAATAGAGAAACTAAAACCTAACAAAACCCCAGGCCCTGATGAACTGTTTGCAAGGGTGTTAAAGGAATGTAAAGAGGAACTTAGCATACCTTTGGCTAATCTTTTTAACATATCACTACAAACTGACATAGTGCCTGATAAGTGGAAAATGGCAAATATAATACCTATTTACAAGCCAGGTGACAGATCCTTAGCTTCGAACTATAGACCAATAAACCTTACCTCCATAGTGGGAAAATTTATGGAATCAATAATTGCTGAAGCAATTCGTAGCCATCTTGATAGGCATAGATTGATTAATGAATCTCAACACAGTTTTCCAAAGGGGCATTCCTGTCTTACTAATTTACTAACATTTTTCACTAAGGTGTTTGAGGAGGTAGGTCATGGTTATGAATATGATATTGTGTATATAGACTTCAGTAAGGCTTTCAATAGAGTTCCACATCAGAGGCTATTGAGGAAACTTAAGGCACACGGAATAGGAGAAATTTTTTCCTGGGTAGAGGCATGGCTGACAAATAGGCAGCAGAGAGTTTGCATAAATGGTGAGAAATCAGAATGGGGACACGTCACAAGCGGTGCTCCTCAGGGGTCAGTGTTGGGCCCATTGTTGTTCACAATTTACATAAACGACATAGATGAGGGAATAAATAGCAACATAAGCAAATTTGCTGATGACACCAAAATAGGCCGTCCAATTCATTCTAATGAGGACACTAGAGCACTCCAGGATGATTTGAATAGACTGATGCAGTGGTCGGAGAAGTGGCAGATGCAGTTTAATATAGACAAATTGGTCTTATCCTCCCCTTTCTTGGACAACCTGATTGCCTCCCGTTCCTCAGCAGCTATATTACCCCTGCAAGTTTTACACTTCCATATTATAATAATAAATACAGTAATAATAGTCACTATGTCTTCTGTGACCTTTGTGTTTAGCAAGACTGTTTTCTCTTGTGTGTTTATTTTCTTTTGTGAGTCCATGCACTTTGTGATATTCTCTTTTGTGTCACCATGATCTTTTGTGAGATCATTGTCTTCTATGGATAACTCCGTAGAAGTTTCGTCCATGGGATAGAACGGGAGTTCCAACAATCTTGATATAGCCATCTCGGGTGTAAGTTTCTCCCTGGCACTCGCAAATCTGTTTAAAATTTACCTTTATCACTTTTTTTTTTTTTACCTTTATTAGACTTTCATTTATTTTGGCTATTATTTTTTTCTTTCCATCAGAAAACAGTATGGTTGATTGACAATTATTGCTGACAAACACAGTACGATTTTTGCCCAGTGTTGAGCTTAAAGTTACGATGGTTTGATAATACGTACTTTACATAGCGCAAAACTATCAGAAGAAAGACTTGCTCTACTATATCTACCAGAAAATAGTACTTCTAGCTAGACTGTAAAATTTTTATGAGTTAACAGCCCCGTTTAAAGTAGATGCAAGCAGTGTGCAGTGATTTTCACTACCTTCAGTAATTCAGACTGTGAAGTTTGTAGTGGAGGCAAGATAGATTATAAATTGTTTGTAAAGTACTGCTGGAAAAGAACAGTCGAGTGTAAAATATCCTATTATAAGACAGTGGTACACTAAATTCACCTAAGATATAATGAGCATTGAAGGTCGAGATTTTCGGCACCCTTCAAATATACAGGAAATTACCAACAGACCTCGCCCTCAAAAGGGGATTATAATCATTTGGACATACTAAACCCTTACAGGTTGTGATGCTTGCTGTATAGCCCTTGTGGCTTAGCGCTTCTTTTTGATAATAATAATGTATGATGCTTGGGGAATGGAAAGTAATCAGTTTTGATCCAAGGAAGGGGAGTGCAGCTCCAATTCCTTGAAAGGTCTTTTAAAGGGAAATTTAAAGAGTTCATCCAGACCTTTCCTAAACAGCCAGTCTGTTGCTTATGTTGGATACACTGCCTCATGACTTGACAAAGGTAGTGTGAGATCAAACCATGGAGGCAGTGTAAAGTAAAAGGACACAAGTGCAACTAATGTGACATTTTATTGTGGCAACGTTTCGCTCTCCAGGAGCTTTGTCAAGCCGTTACTTAACGGCTTGACAAAGCTTCTGGAGAGCGAAACGTTACCACAATAAAATGTCACATTAGTTGCACTTGTGTCCTTTTACTTTACATATTGTCGGTAATTCTACCAACTTTATTACAATCCATGGAGGCAGTGATTGCAAAAAACACCAACCAATTAAAAATTATGTAAATCAGTTTTCTTCAAGTATACAAGATGGCGAAGGATATAAATGAAAGACATTTTAATATCATTTGCTTTATTTTACACCTTAAAAATGGTAGTGTTGATACAGTGTGTAGTGAGAACACTTAAAAAGCTGCCGACGAAGCCCAGGGCTATCGACACGACTGTACAGCGGCGGGGCTGAGGTGCCCTCCCGCGGCCCTGGGGAACCCTGGGACTTGACCCATGGGATGATGGCCCTTTGGAACCCCTGAAACCCAGCCTATGGGATGGTGACCCTGGAACACAAACCATGGGATGGTGGTCCTGGAACTCAACCCATGGGATGATGGCCCATGGAATCAAACCATGGGATGGTCTTGGGGGATACCTTGGAACTCACCCAATGGGAAGGGACAGGCTGGGGAAAATGTTAGACACTTCCACCCACCCTGGGCATCACTTGCCTGGGGGCAATGTGAACCAGGGCACCTGTCGACTCTCACAAGGCAAAAAAGGTCATCCCAACATAACTTGAGCCATTCACTTAAATAAGTCTCCCCACTGGCTGCTAAGAGTTTGTAATGTTGTAAGGTAATGCAGCCAGCAAAAAGACGGACCACCAAGCTAAGTGGGTGAGGACAGGTCACTGCCGCAGACGCCTACAGCCACCGCCACACTTTGTACTAACAGAAGCCAACTCTCTGGGTACGTGGGGACCAACACGCGGACAACACGCTGCTCACAGCACTAGTTCACGCCAGGGGCTAACGGGAAAGGGAAGGGGGCCAGGGACTGCTGCTGGAGTCTGGGAGGTGAAGGACAACTGAAATTTAGATAGAATGGGGCAGCATTCACCCATCCCTAGCAAGAAGGCAGGGACATAAGTATGGGAAAGAGCTTAGCTAACCCTGGAAAGGTAGATTATAACTGGGAAGCGCTAAACCCGCAGGGTTATACAGCACCTGGGAAAATGAGAGGCAATTGATGTAGAATTAGGAGAAGGGGACAGGAAATTACCATACATCTCATGGAAAGGGGCTACTACTGGGAAAACTTGGCAGACCAGGGTGAGGGAGGGGCAGGCACAGGCTCCCTTGTAAAGGAAGAAACTATCGTGTGAAGTGATGGGTAGAGGAAAGTGAGGACAATAGGGTCTCTCTACTTCTCAGAGGCCAGAACGTATTACACTCAAAATGGGTATTACAAAAAAGGAATGATTTAGTATACAACCAAAATGATATGTAAAACTATTCAGTAAAAATGACAATTTAGCGAAAAAAGGTTGGTCCGCTGTTAATAGACATAACATAGCTGAATATTAATACACATTAAAACACAACACCACAACTGAACTTACATTACACCTTAGTGATTTCCCTGTCTCATATATCAAAACATTTAACTTATATAACAATTTAACAACACTTGAAAAATATTAAGTATTCAATAAATAAATAATCCTTAAAAAGAGAGAGTCTATGTTACAGAGGGGGCGCACAGAGTCCTCTCATTCTGACCCTGACTGATGCCAGTCACACTCAGAGATCCTGTCTTTGTCACACCCTTATGCTTGTCACTTGTTGGTCTTGTGTTAACAGCAAGCAGTAGCTACATATTGGACAACTTGTTTTTATAGATGAAAAATATAGAGTACAAATTTAAAAGTATTAAATATATTCAAAATATATGATATGGCTTTCTTTTCTCTTACAAAGAATTGGAACATCATCAAATTGAGCACCAATTACTGTGGACAACCTATTTCCTCGTGCCCAATTTTTTGCACAACACTTTATCACTAATATCACCTTGGCATCAGGTTAGTAGCTTTAAGGCCAATCACAAACATGTCAAAATTTAGGATAAAATGGCATCGGAGTCTTGTGTTTGGTAAAGAAGCAGAGCGCAACGGACTGTCAAAGCTGCAAGGCACTGACCATTAACACCTCCCATGGAGAGTCCGCAACAAACAAGAACTCAATCCAATTGAGCGCCATTTACAAGAAACTGGGGAAACTATGGACTTAAGGACTCAGACCCTAGTCTGGAAAGCACCACTTGAGCCAGTAGTTAATACTTTCCTTGCTGCTGATGGGTGGCAACAATATAGTGACTGAGTGACGAAACTTTCCTATCCACACTCCCTACAGACAAACATACATATTCAGTGCTGGTCTCTGGGTAGGTGTTATCAATGGTATGGTGTTTCATGACTGGATACACTGATTCTGGACTGTTTACCACTACTGATATAGCAATTCATAGCACAACTGATTACAGACTTTGTTTATATCACTGGTTTCTATGATGCCCATTTGTAGACCAAACAGCCTTCTAGTTTTCTAAAAAATAAATCCACCGAGCTCAAGAGGTGCTTGAGGACTTGGGCGTGACTACGAGTGTCGTTCACTACAACCTACACTGAGAAGCCCAGTACAGTGTATCAGTATCTGTGGGCTACCTGGTATCACATTCTGGATGGGTAGGAGGAGGTGGGGGCCTCGGTGTTCGACACGTGTCTTGCCACTTACTTCATCTAGAGGCGCATGTAATAAAATAATTATAATTAATCTTATCTATACAGTTTTCTATTTACAGACTCACAGTGAGTGACAGTCATTACAATGTGGAGATTAGAGGCAATATATACAGAAATAGGCAATTAGGAAGCTCACATTAGAGTTCCCTTTCATAATATATTACACATTCTTGAAAAAAATATCAAGTTATTGTCAGAAGGAACCCTTTACGCACATTGACGTAAATGGTTTTACAGGTTGTGCAGCAAGTGCACAACAAGTTCCGTATCACTGCATCAGCAGCAGCTGCCTGTGAGTGGGGACCAGACTGGAGGCGAGGTTCTTCCTCGCCGGGATGCCACCATAAAGGCAGCTGGACTCGGATGCTCCTGGAGAGCTAGTGAGAATCCTTGTGTAGACCAGAAGACATCCACACAGAGAAATAGACTAATGCCCTTATGCACCTGTGCAGTCGATTTCAACAATGTCTTTTGGAACATCCACGAACTGGTAAACAAGCCGCTGGCCATCAACTTTAGCCAAAATTCCACGCTGGTAGTAGTACCTGTTGAAAAATATAAGATATTGAATATTTTGTTGCACCAAAACATTATTATAATTTAAATATATTAACCAGCCAAAAGTAAGCTTTATAAAGAATAAAATTATTTCAGTATGAAATGTGAATATTTTGGATATTGAATAACTAATACCATGGAGTTTCATATGAGCAGTCTCATAAAATATTCATCAAGTAATGCTGTACTCATTGCAGAACCTCCAAACTTGTATCTAATACAGTGACTGGGGCATTAATGACAAATATAACCTTTTACATTAGCCACAAGAGTTCTTTAATATTACTGTTGTCCTAGGGTTCAACAAAGTGAGGAGGGGCAACCAACCTGAGAGCACGACCCATGGTCTCATAGTTCATGTCTGGCTTGTTCTTGTGTAGTCCCCACAATCTGGACACGGCCTTGGAGTCGACCAGCTTGAAGACACCTTTCTCCCGGTTGGTCCACTTAATGTACTTGGGGCAACACTCCTTGTCTTGTAACAACTTCAGAAGGAACTCCCATAAGTATGTTGTTGAGCCTGAAAATTAAACCATATATGTTTAGAGAAATTTTCTCATTTCTCTCGACAAAAAAAAAAAAATGAAATTCTGAACAATTTAAATTTTCGGTGGAACTATTCTTACACTATACTTCATATACCCTAACTTTGTTTACTCTTTGCACTGCAAATTGCTAAATAAACACGAGCGCTTTAGGAAAATTTTTTTTTTATCCATTGGTGCCTCTGTAACCTATCATCTACTTATCGCTCACAGGATAGTTATACTGTGCACAGTTCAAATCAAAATGTTAAAACAAATGTTGACATTAATCATTTCTGTTTCACTGTTAGTGGTTCAGCTGATGAAATTATCACTATTATTTTCATTAAATTTTCCATTACTAATTTTGTTACCGAGTCCACTATTTTTGCAAACATCTTACTGCTGTGACCATCTTAATCAAGAGAATATTGAATTCTTTTCTGTGGATCTATTATGCGCGTCAAAATACGTATATATATATAATATATATATATATATATATATATATATATATATATATATATATATATATATATATAATATATATATATATATATATTCCATAACTATGATGGAAAAAAATTGAAGAAAACCCAAAGGAGACAAAGATGAAATGTAAGCTGCATATATCGATCTCCATCTGCTAAAATGGATCTCGGCTGGAGACAGAAGCATACAGTTTCTCATATTCTATTATGTCTCCTCCAGGTTTCCTCAACCATTGCATAACTTATATTTCACTATTTTCCTTGAGGGATGGGGAGTTGAAACTTCAGGTGACAGGCAACAAGTTGCCCTATAAACACAACAGGCAGCTCACCTTCTCTACTCTTCCTCTTCATGCCGGGTTGTTGCTGACCGTTAGCATCAATAGGCTTGGGCTTGCGTCCCTTCTTCTTCATCCTGGGAGGGAAGCCCATGTCACCCAGGAAGAAATCCTCGGCGGAGGAAGAGGAGGAAGGGGAGGCGGTGGAAGGCGCGGCGCCCATGCCGGACGTGACCATGTGGTTCATGTGTGAGGAGGAGGGTCCAAGAAGGGGCGAGGCCAGCCCTGAGGGGTGGCCGGTGTAGTGAGGAGAAGCGACACCGTAGGCCGCTGTCACACCTCCCGGAGACCCGGTATCCATGTACCCTGAAACACCTACACTGTAGCCACCCATCACTTGAGAATCTGTAGAAGAAAAACGGACCAAGGTTACATCATTTAAACGTTAGAATCATTTAATCTAACCTTGAAAATGAAAGTGTTTATCTTAAACACAGAAACAAAAGTAGTTGTCTAAACAGATATGACTGTATGCCAGCAGTTGACGGTAGCCTTGAGGCACAAGAGTAACCCATTAACCCATTGTTTCACCAAGTTACGGGAAGTCTGGGGCGACGGTTAACCCTTTTCCTCCTACTCAACACTTTCCCACGAGGGTGCATCGCAGCTCCAGAGGGCAAGACTCCCCACCCTCCACTCCCACCCGGAACTTTTAAATGTCTACTTTAATAATTTTTAAACTTTTCAACATGTCAGGGTAGAGCACATGTATTAATCAGTTGTGTGAGAGAGAAATACGGCAAGCTCCGACACCATTCTTGTCGCTAGGTAGTCAGGCGGAAGTTGAGCCCAATATTAAACTCGCCCTCCTCCCCACACCGACGACTACAAGACAAAGAACCAATTATACCATCTTCATAGTTATCGCTGGCCTGATCCTGTGCGCGAACGTAGCCCAAATCACCCAAACCTCAAGGTAGGTTCTATGATGCTGGTGAGGGAAGGTTCTTGATCCAACGAACTGGACTTATCTTGCCTTTCTTGGATCGAACCCTATTGCCTCTCATTCCCCAGGTGCAGTATGACCTCTTCGGGTACAGCACTTCCTCCTAAATGTAATAAAAATCTAGTCATCTAAAACGCCATTTGCGAGTGTATGAAGTTTGAGGAGTGAAAAATATTAGGAAATAGCGAGTCATAGATGACGCAAATGTGCCACAGGGCCGGAAATACTTCTTTAGCCTCAATGTGGCCAGGAAGTGAGATGCCGTAGACAATGTGGAAACAAACACAATACACAGTTGGATTGATAGGTACGCCAGGGCCCAAGGTGCACTAATAAAGGCCAGGTACAAAAGCTTGATCCCAACCATCACTACCGCAACTTGATGCATATACACAAAAGAGTACCTGAAGTCTACCTGCCTGGAGGGTATTCCGGGGATCAACACCCCCGCAGCCCAGTTCATGACCAGGCCTCCCAGTAGATTAGGGCCTGATCAACCAGGCTGTCACTGCTGGCCGCACGTAGTCCAACGTGCGAACCCCAGCCCCGACTTTAAATATCTTTCCAGCTCCCTCTTGAAGGTGGCCAGGAGCCTATTGGTAATTCCCCCTTATGCCTGGTTGGAGGCTGTTGAACAGTCTTGGGCCCCGGACATTTATGGTGTTTTCTCTTAGTGTACCAATAGCGCCCCTACTTTTCATTGGGGATATTTTGCATCGTAGGGAGTGATTTGTGTGTGCAGATTCGGGACCATTCCTAGGATTTTCCAAGTGTAGATTATGATACATCTCTCGCCTGCGCTCCAGCGAGTACAAGTCAAGTGCTTCCAAGCGTTCCCAGTAGTTGAGGTGTTTGATAGAGCTTATATGTGCAGTAAAGGTTCTGTGTACATTCTAGATCTGCAATTTCACCTGCTTTGAACGGAGATGTTAATGTGCAGCAATTTTCCAGCCTAGAGAGAACAAGTGATTGATTTGAAAAGCATCATTTGCTTGGCATCTCTTGTTTTGAACGTTCTCATTATCCATCCTGTCATTTTCTTTGCAGTTGTGATCGTGGCACTATTGTGATCCTTGAAAGTAAGATCCTCAGACATTATCACTCCCAGGTCCCTCACATTATTTTTCCGCTCTATTGTATGATCAGAGTTTGTAGTGTATTCAGTTCTAGTTATTATTTCCTCCAGTTTTCCATAACGGAGTAGTTGAAATTTGTCTTCATTGAACATTATATTGTTCTCCGTTGCCCATTGGAAAACTTGGTTTATATCTCCTTGGAATTTAACAGTGTCCTCTGTAGATGACAGTCTCATGCAGATCCTAGTATCGTCTGCAAAGGATGATACGGTGCTGTGGATTACATCTCTATGTCTGATATGAAGATGAACAAAATGGGGGCGAGTAATGTGCCTTGCTGAACAGAGCTCTTCACTATGGCAGCTTCCGATTTAACTCTGTCGACCAGTACTCTTTGTGTTCGGTTGGTTAGAAAGTTGAAGATCCATCTCCCCACTTCGCCAGTTATTCCTTTAGCACGCATTTTGTACACTATTATGCCATGATCGCACTTGTCAAAGGCTTTTGCAAAGTCTGCGTATTTTACTTCTGCATTCTGTTTTTCTTTCAGTGCATCCAAGACTATATGACTAATGTAAATTATATACATATGTGAGTCGCAGGTATAGTAAATATTTAGACAAGTAACGGAAAAGCATAAGATGCGTTGCTCGATAGCTGGCATACTCAGCTCACACACTGAAGTCCGTGGTTCGATCCCCGGTACGGGTGCAAACAATAGAAAGTGTTTCTTTAAGACATCTGTTGTCCCTGTTCACCTATCAGTAAAATAGGTACATGGGTGTTAGCCAACTGGTGTGGGTAGCATCCTGGGAACAAAACTAAATTTACCCGAAATGCTCTGCATAACATTGATGTCAGCTGGGCCTGTATACCTTGTACTTGTAGTAATAATAATAGTAATATTAATAATATTATTAACTTATCAGTCGGCGTACAACCAAAGCAACTAGTTGCCCCTGTTTACTTAGCAATATGTGTTGAATGGTTTGAAAAACCGACAAGTTGAAGATTGAGACACTTATGCAGCATATGGGAATCTTTATTCAGGAAACGTTTCGCCACACAGTGGCTTCATCAGTCCAATACAAAGAGGAAGGCGTAAGGAGAGGAGGAGTATGAGGTAATCAGTCCCTCAACCTGGAGTCGATGTGTTCAGTCCATCAATCTTGAATAAAGATTCCCATATGCTGCATAAGTGTCTCAATCTTCAACTTAGCAATATATAGGTATGTAGGTGTTAATGCTGTTATGGGTCGCAGTCTGAGGATAAAGTTAAAAGAACATAATTTCCATCACACGTGCGCAATATATATATATATATATATATACATACATATATATATATATATATATATATATATATATATATATATATATATATATATATATATATAATATTAGATACACGCAGACAAGAGCAGCAGCAGCCTTGGAGTGACGTGTAACATCGCGCATCAATAACCACAACTCGAACCATTTTATAACTTTCATCTCCTTAAATGTTAACATTCATAAAGTTTACTTTATTATAAACGCAAAGTTGCAAATCAATATTATAAGGGAAATATTTATATAACGGAAATACTTTTATAAAATATAAATAGCGTAGTTGTAGACTACGTGCGTGCGCAGCATTGATCTCTACAAGGTTACTGTGGAAATACGTCTGAAAATATGTGAACACTGTGAATAAAGTCAGTCTTTTAAGCATCCCCTAAAGAACTGATTTCCTGAACCTTACCTACAAGTTCCCGCCAAAAGTGTGTTGGCAGCAGGTTCAAGCACAGTTGCCACATCAACAGCACATTACGACATTCCTTCAGCATCTACTTCAACATCAGTGCTAAATTGTATCGTAACCATTCCTATCCGCTCCAAAAACACTCAACATATATACAAAGAGCAGGTAGTGAAAGTAAGAGAGGTGGAGCGAGGGCAATAAATGTGGTGGTGGTGGTAGCATGTGCTTCGGTGAGCAGGTGGCGGGAAAACGGTGTCAACGTGCTGCCTCAAGGTCGCTCACTGCCTCCTCTACTGTCTTGCCTCTCTTGTGCCCTTCATGCTCTCACGTAGTGTTTTGTGCCCTTCATGCTCTCACGTAGTGTTTTGTGCCCTTCATGCTCTCATGTAGTGTTTTGTGCCCTTCATGCTCTCATGTAGTGTCTTGTGCCCTTCATGCTCTCATGTAGTGTGTCTTGTGCCCTTCATGCTCTCATGTAGTGTCTTGTGCCCTTCATGCTCTCATGTACTATGTCTTGTGCCCTTCATGCTCTCATGTAGTGTGTCTTGTGCCCTTCATGCTCTCACGTAGTGTTTTGTGCCCTTCATGCTCTCACGTAGTGTTTTGTGCCCTTCATGCTCTCACGTAGTGTTTTGTGCCCTTCATGCTCTCATGTAGTGTCTTGTGCCCTTCATGCTCTCATGTAGTGTCTTGTGCCCTTCATGCTCTCATGTAGTATCTTGTGCCCTTCATGCTCTCATGTAGTGTGTCTTGTGCCCTTCATGCTCTCATGTAGTGTCTTGTGCCCTTCATGCTCTCATGTACTATGTCTTGTGCCCTTCATGCTCTCATGTAGTGTCTTGTGCCCTTCATGCTCTCATGTACTATGTCTTGTGCCCTTCATGCTCTCACGTAGTCTTGTGCCCTTCATGCTCTCATGTAGTGTGTCTTGTGCCCTTCATGCTCTCATGTAGTGTCTTGTGCCCTTCATGCTCTCATGTACTATGTCTTGTGCCCTTCATGCTCTCATGTAGTGTCTTGTGCCCTTCATGCTCTAATGTAGTGTCTTGTGCCCTTCATGCTCTCATGTACTGTCTTGTGCCCTTCATGCTCTCACGTAGTCTTGTGCCCTTCATGCTCTCATGTAGTGTCTTGTGCCCTTCATGCTCTAATGTAGTGTCTTGTGCCCTTCATGCTCTAATGTAGTGTCTTGTGCCCTTCATGCTCTCACGTAGTGTCTTGTGCCCTTCATGCTCTCATGTAGTGTCTTGTGCCCTTCATGCTCTAATTTAGTGTCTTGTGCCCTTCATGCTCTCATTTAGTGTCTTGTGCCCTTCATGCTCTCATGTAGTCTTGTGCCCTTCATGCTCTCATGTAGTGTCTCGTGCCCTTCATGCTCTCATGTAGTGTCTTGTGCCTTTCATGCTCTCACGTAGTGTCTTGTGCCCTTCATGCTCTCATGTAGTCTTGTGCCCTTCATGCTCTCATGTAGTGTCTTGTGCCCTTCATGCTCTCATTTAGTGTCTTGTGCCCTTCATGCTCACGTAGTGTCTTGTGCCCTTCATGCTCTCATGTAGTGTGTCTTGTGCCCTTCATGCTCTCACGTAGTGTGTCTTGTAT